AGATGACCTAGGGTCCATTTTGTTCAACTTATTTTTTAATCTTATTATTTATTCTCATTAAAATTAAATATAATCAGATTAGATTCAATTACATTCGAGTAGATCTTTAAAAAATCTGATCTAATCTGGCAAACAGAACACAAATATTATGTCAAAGTAAATTAAAGGCTTCATATTCCCCCTTTTGTCCTTATTTCAAAGTGTACTGTACTCTTGTAGTCTTTACAATAGAATTAAGAATACCCAAGTAAATTGTAACACCCTAATCCGTCCAGGTCTGCAGCCCCTTTCGGACTAAAGTATTAACTTGGTAATTGTAAAATTTAAAACATTTCAAATACTTTTATTCATCATAAATATTATTCAAGACATGACTGTAGCAAAATACGGAGTGTTTAATAATAGCGCGGAAGCAATTTAAACCATGTTTAATAACAACACAATTATTCATTTTAAAAATCACAAATTCCACCACGACAGTCTTGCCCCTTCCACTGCCAGGAACATGCCATTCACTCATCGTGCCTACCTGCGTGCAGCAAATAAAACACACTACACGCTCAGCGGTGAAGCTGAGTAAACATATCTAAAGCGTCGAACATCCACATAAATTAAATCTTAATTCACAAACAACCATTTGATATCATGCATATAATATATAATCCATTCATGATATTTTATTTCAATATCTCAAGATTCAATATTCAACAATATCCTTAAACTATACTTAGTCTAAGGCCAGTTTCATTCTTAAACTGATTTTAGTTCAAGATATTCTAATCCTTAAGCTAGGCCTAGTTTAAGATATATTTTAAAAAGAGTTTTCAAATCTTAAACTTACCTTTGCTTAAGGTCAACCAAAAATCGACAGCGTAGTGTTCACTGTTGGGTTGGGTGGTACTCCCAAACGAGTAGGTACTCAAGTTTGGTTCTTGGATCCCCCACGTACGTTTTAAATAGGTATATCTTAGAGTTCTTCTAGATACCTTTCAAAATCAACTTTACTATGGGTATATCTTAGAGTTGTTCTAGATACCCTTAACAATATATTTTCGTTATGATTATCAATATATCCATTTTTAATTATGATTAAGTCATCAATAATCATTCAAATCAGTAGGTTTATCATTCATAATCATTCATAACATTTATTCATCATAATGATCAATCAACATAATATTTGATGGCAAATAGCGGCCTAGTCTCGATGTTAACACCGGAACTTACCGTCATGCATCACATAACATTTTACTTTATTAAAAACATCATTTATATTGTGAAAAATCATTTTTATAACAATCATAATCAATTGGTATCAAAAATAGGATTTTAGAGCCCAAAAATAGCATTTTCAAACAAATTTTCGGACCAGAAATTTCGGAGGATCGATCCATCCCTCTGGATCGATCAAACTAGAAGAAAAACTCCCAGAGGATTGATCCAGATGAGATGATCGATCCAGACAGAGAGTTTCAGGTTACTGTTCATTCGTCTTCAACCTCGGTCCATTTTTCGGGAAAACCATTATTAGTCACCGAACTTCAATTAAACTATATAGAGATGTTCTCTAAGCTTCATAGGTCATTTTAGAATTATTAAAACATATTTTTAACATCAAATTCAAGGTTTATGATTCTTGGTTCTTCGAACATGTTAAACACAAAACTCAATCAAACGACCATTTATGAACGTAGAAACGACCTATATGAACATTCTAATCTTTAGATATATCTACGGGCTTACCTTGAAGCGTAAGGAAGGTTTTGAATATTTTCAGGCAAAACTTCCGGCGACTCTATCTCACTGCTCCGGCGACCTCACACAAAGATGACAACACCACTGCACTCTACTCTCAGCAAGGAACAATATGGAAGGAAGAATGAATTGTTTAATTTTGGTGAGGAAATGAAGGAGTTGGCTCTCCTTAAATAGCCAATTGGTGAAGGAAGAAGACACAGGTTTTGCAGCTTCCTTGATTGCACGGTGATTCGGATTTTGGAATCGGCGTAATTGAACAGGGCGCCGTTTGGTACGTAGTCCCTCATTGGGACTAATATTTGGTCCCAGTCGGGGTACACTTTTTGGTCCAACTTTCTCCAAATTGAAATCCGATTGAACCGTTGGGGTCGGACAGTCAAACTCTACATAATGATATAATTTTCATTATTTATTGACAAACTTTATAAATCACTTATTTTTGGGTCCTTCTCAGTAATTAATTAATTATCAATTAATTAATTCTGATAGGCCTAATTTCGGGGCGTTACATAAATTGTTTTATTTTTCCCATCGAAAGTGTTTAAAGTGAATGAAGACTTTAACATACGTTGTCAACGAGTTCGGGGATGCGGAATGCACACTTGGAGGTACGTCTTATTCAATTGAAATATTTTGGTTTACCTCAAAATATAAGTTTAATATGTAAGCCTTTCTACTAGATTTCCTAAGTCTATAGAGTCGTTCTTCACGGTCCTCCAACATCGTTTCTCTAATGTTGCTTCTTGGCGTTACTACTTCTCTTGGATTTCCAACAGATATTAATGCTACAAAGCATCCTCCTATACTTTAAAAAGAATGTTAAGGGCCCTTGGAATCATTTTTTAAATATACCTAAATAAAATTAAGGAAAAACGATCCCTAATAATCTCACCTTCGGCCGCTCTTTCAGAAAATAATTTCATCTTTCCAAGTAAATTTTAAAAAAGTTTTTTTGGTTACGTTGCACCTCAATTTATTTATGCAGTATTTATTATAAATAATATATTTGTAATCATACTTTATATATTACAAGATTTTGTTTTAAATATCAGACATGTCACATAATGTAATCAAACCTATTTTTTCTTTCATGATTGATATTATTTTCATTGAAGTCCTATTTTTGGAATAAAGACATAGAATATTTTTTACATTTTTATGTTAAACTCCTATTTTAGTCCTTTTCTCTAAACTATTTTGACTTACAATTTTTTTTTATAAAAATTAGAAAAATGTGCAAATTTTAAGTAATAAAGGGAAAGGTGAGAGATCGTATATAAAGGTAGATTAATAAAACATTCTATGTGACTATTTTATCCATAATTCTTTTTAATATAGTTTAAAATATTGATGTTTTCCTATTTTATCATGCAGATTAATATATAAAAAATTGTCTTGTTCATATTAAAAAGTTAAAGAAAAAAATAGTGAGTGTGAATCGTAAAAATAGTGAGATAAAAAATATAATTTATAAACTATAGTTATGAACATAGTAGTTGTAATAATAATAATAATAATCACATTAAAAATATATCATTTTTAGAGTAATTGGTTGGGGAGTATAAAGAGTTTGAAGAAAATGAGAATAGTTGGAAGAAACTGGAAGAAACTAAAAGGAACTGGAAGAACCGGAAGAAACTGGAAGAAACAGTAAGGAACTGGAAGAAACTGGAAATTAAGAGTTCAAGCCCTAAAGAACAGGCTCTAAGTAGTTATTTCAAAATGTTGGAGTTGTTGTCAAATGAAAATGTTGTGTAATGGATACTTAGAGTCTGTTCTTTATGTCATAAATTCTTAACTTTCAGTTTCTTCCAGTATCTTCCAATTCTTCACGTTTCTTCTAGTTTTTTCTTGTTCCTTCCAGTTACTTCAAACTATTCTCATTTTCTTCAAACTCATTTTACTCCCAACCAATTACTCTAAAAAAGATATGTTTTTAATCTGATAATAATAATAATTACTTTTATTATTATTATTAATTACAACTCATAAGTTCATAACTATAATTCATAAATTATTTTTTCATCTCACTATTTTTATGATTCACACTCATTATTTTTTCTTCAACTTTTTAATATGAATACGACAAATTTTTTGTATATTAATCTACATGATAAAACAGGAAAACATCAATATTTTAAAATATATTTAAAAATTATAGATAAAATAGTTACATAGAATGTTTTATTAATCTACCTTTATATAAGATCTCTCACCTTTCCCTTTATTACTCAAAATTTTCTCATTTTTCTAATTTTATATAAAAAAGTTGAAAGTCAAAATAGTTTAGAGAAAAAGACTAAAATAGGAGTAAAACATAAAAAATGTAAAAAAAGTTATGTGTCTTTATTCCAATAATAGAACTTTCAATGAAAATAAAATGTCAATTATGAAAGAAAATATGGGTTTGATTACATTATGTCACATGCCAGATATTTAAAACAAAATCTTGTAATATATAAGTATAATTACAAATATACTACTCCGTATTTATTATAAATACTGCATAAATAAACTGAGGTGCAACATAATCACAAAAATGTTTTAAAATTTAACATTTTGATATTTATGCTAACTTTATATTATAATTATTGTTTTTGAAAAACTAGTTTTTTGTATTTAAAAAATAACAATACTTTTTTTTTATCTTAAAGACATTCATTAAAATAACGTGATGATGATGATGATAATAGTAATAATAAAAATAATATAATAATAATAATAATAATAATAATAATAATAATAATAATAATAATAATAATTTATAGAACAAGAATTAAAATCAAGATAATATAAAAATACACTAAAATAATTTTTTTAAAAAGTTTTTTTAGGGTTTCCAATTTTTTGAAGTTTTTTTTCCAGTTTCTTCCCGTTTCTTCCAGTTCCTTATCGTATTTTTCCAGTTCCGTTCAGTTTCTTTCAGTTCTTCTAGTTTCTTCTAGTTTTTTCCAACACTCAACTCTTTTTTCAAGTCCTAAAGAACAGGCTTTTAAAGCATATTTGAAAGAAATCTCAATATTCTCAAAAATGTGGTTCAAAAGAAGTTAAAGATGATCTTATTAAAATTAGATCTAATTAATCAGATCAAATTCAATTACTTTTAGAATATAAATAACTGCTCCTTAGCGACAACCACAAGTTTGAGCTTTTGATTGAGTTGGTTCCTTGACAATTACATTCGAGTAGATCTTCAAAAAAATCTGATGGCAATCAGATCTAATTAATCGTATTGTTTTGTAGATAAAAATCCTATTTTGACTTTCTCAATGTTTTATTTTCTCCCTCGTTGTAAAAATTGTAATAGGACACCAACATGTAGCAAGGAACAAGAGTGATCAAATCCTAAGCTTCTTGTTACCGCAATGGCAGAAATGTCCAAAGCGCCCACTTCAGAGGACAATATCCGGCAGTCCGACCAATCTGCCGCCACCGAGTTCAACCCGGAAACCATGAGGAAGACCAAACCCGGCAGGAAGCGGCTGTTTCTTACGCTCGCCGTCTTGTTTTCTTTCCTCACCGGTAAAACCCCTTTGCTCGCTACCTATCTATAACTGAGGTTCTATTATCATTCATTTGTTTGGGAATCGATTATAGGTTTTCCGTTTATGTTGAAAACGATCGAGATCCATAGAGCTCCATTGCCGTTTAGCGACATTGATTCACTTGCTTTGTCAATCGAAAGGAGTCCCTTGTTGTTTCCATGTAAATTTCAAGCTGTATTTTTGAACTTGGATCACAGAACTGCTTCCACTGCGGATGAATTAGGCTTTCTGATCAATAATAAAGTGCAAAAACTCACTGCAGCAAAACCCCCAGTTTGCGGTACTTGTTTAAGCAATTTTACTGTTGGAGTAACACTTGACAGCTCAAATTCGAACTGCATTTACAGCGAAAATCAGGATATTGTCTGGAAATGTGGAGCATTAAGTGGTCTTGATTTTGATGAGCATTTGGAAGATCATGATTTTGATGATTTTTTAGAGTCATTGCTAGATAGTAAGACTAGTAGGGTGTATACAGTTGTGGTAGTGAATAGGGATGATGAGGTTAGAGCAGTGGTTGGGAAGCATCGGCATGCTTGGGTTGTAGGTAAGCTCTCGGAGCACGAAGCTGCGGAGAAAGTGGCTGAAATTTTCGTTGATGTGTTTGTGAATGGCGGGAAAAAAGAAGGATCGATACATGGAGAATTTATGCCAGTTGGTGCAGATGGTAGAGTTGTGCTTTCATTCAATCTCTTGAATGCTGAACCTCGTGATTGGATTTATGATTGGTATTTAGTTCCTCCCTTCTTTTTTGTTAATAAAGAATGCATTTGATCTTTTATTTACCTCCATTTATACCGAAGGGTGATGCTAAATAAAAGGACACCATAGGTTACCACATGGGTTTCATGCCTCAATACATTGTTGTTTACTCGCCTACTCAAGAATATAAAACTAAATGCTAGAGGGAGACTATAGGTTACTACATAAGTTACACATTGCATCTGAAATTATTGATGTATCATTTTTACTCTACAAGGTTACATACTCATTACACAAAGGTTGAATCAATAACTTCACAAAGTTGGGCTTGAACTTCCTGTTTACTTGAATGTTCATTCTTCTGCGAGTTTTGCAATTAAATTCTCTCACATCAGGGGCTTGAACTTACTCCCTTTTTAGCAATCTTGGGATAATCATAGTACCTGGTAGGCTGGTACATCATGAATAATGTTTATATTCTCAAATGTTGTTCTTTGACTGCATATATACTTGTCTATGCAGATGTGCAATAGTGTTGTTCAGACATTTTGTCTAGCTGTTTTTACCTTATTCATCTAACACACTTTTCCATAAGCAGGGATTTTCAAGAGTTAGATGATATGTTGTTGTCTCCAATTGTTCAAGCATTGACACCAATAGCTAACATTAGTGTAGAGAGTCAGGTTGCTTTCCCACCACTCCGGTTTTTTTTCTTAGGTCCTTAGTAAAGAAAGCTCATCAAGATTTTTTCATTCATATGGCCGTATTTAGCATTTATTAAGATCTAATTTGTCATTGGTGGTATGAAGGTTTTGTACCATACTCCGAAGTCCTCTTTTGCTAGATGGGATGAAAAGCATGGCAGCTACATTTTCACTATCAAAGATCTTCCTTTCTTTGTAAGTATTTTACTTCATGGCTACTGAATCTGTTGTAAAATTCCTGATTTCTACTACTTGCTTGTGTTACAGGTGAATTCAAATGAGTGGCATTTGGATACTTCAATAGCAGCTGGTGGCCGTTCAAAGATTCTGCACTTTGTGGTGTATGTTACTATTAGAAAAACTCCATATAACTCGTATGATTATTTCATTATAGCTGGCCAAATCCACTTGCGAATGGATTCCCCCTCCCCTTGAAATGAAAGGATCAAAATGCAGCACCAACACCTTAATTACCATAGACTGCTGGATTAAGCTTCTAGGTCAATTGGGTGAAATGGGCTGCGGGCCACAGAGTTTGTACTCGGGCTAAAGACTCACAGAGGTTACTCAATTGGGCCATAATACACTACATGGTTGAACCAAAATAAAAGATTGAATCCAATCGATTATCTAGTTCAACTCAAAGCCATATGAGCCCATTATTCTTTCACAAATTTACCGATGTGGAATACTTTAATAAACTTAAAAGTAGGCCCTCGTAAAATTATAAAAGACTTAACTTTAGTTTTGCTTATTCTCATGAGCACTTTTATCTGAAATAAGAAAAATGTAACACTAATCATTTCCACCTCATTGATTGATTCCAGTTATATCCCATCAGCAGAAGAGTGCCCTCTTCAGTTGCAGCTTCCAAATGGAAAACTTTCAGCGACAAATGGCTTTATATCTCCTGTGAGTACGATTTTTCAGTAGAGTAGAATAAGTAGATTGCCCTTTTATCTTCCATTATTCATTCTCATACCTCATGAATGACTCCTTTTCAGACGTGGGGAGGGGTAGTTGTTTGGAATCCTCCTGTCTGTTCAAAGAATTCAGGGATGCAACCCCTCAGACATAGGATTCGCTCTGAGGTTAACAATCGTATTTATATTGCAAACTTGATGTTTTCTTTGTTTTTGAATATGTGTGCAGTCTGTTATACAGCATCTAACTTTATTAACTGTATTGATTCACGGACTTACTGAAACAGGACATCAAGAAGGTTTTTGAAGTATTCATGGGACAGTTACGACAGCTCTTTGGTCTGAGTTCTGATAGCCTCTATCTTGGCGCTACTACCACATCTAAACTATTAACCAGTGAAAACGGCTTTACACAATGGTCAGGAATGTAAATCTAAAAATTTCATATGATATTAAGTCTTCACTTTTTTCATTTAGGTTTTAATGTTCACCCAGCACTCCATGACGCACAGACTCAGTCTCTCTCTCTCTCTCTCTCTCTCTCTCTTGATGCAGTCTCTCTTTTATCTGCTTAAGTTACATCTTGGGACACTTGTTTTTTTCCGGGGTGGTGACAATTCCTTATGAAGTTATTGTGCTGCCAGGCATTAACTAATTATCATTCGACAACTTGTCTTTTCTCAAGGGAATTGGATTTCATATCACGACAACACACGTGCTTCAATCTTCTACAATGTGGCACCACTCTTGGATCACTTAGTCGATTGGTATGCCATTTTGCTCCTGTTTCTTAGCTGTTGTACTTTGTACTTCATATTATATTATTATGCGTCTACTACTTCCTGAAAAAACTGAAAAAATCTCTCCATTCAGGTTCAGTCACTTCCTAGGATGATCATCATGGATGAGATAGGGAAGCAGGTGAAGCTCTCTCTGGATGCGGCAAGTTCATCCCTAACCAACGTATCATTTGGAAATTATGATGCATCAGCTGGCAAGTTTCATTATACCTCTTATTTTTTATATTCATTTTTCCTTTTAAATAATCTCCTGAGAGTTTTTGCGCCATTTACCCCTGGACTTTTCAAAACTGCACGAGCTTTAAAAATTGCACCAATGCCCCCTGAACTTTTAAAAATTGCACCATTGCCTCCTGATTTGCAAACTTCTTTTCTTCCAGTTTCATCAAGACAGGCGAGATCATTGGCAGAAGATGCCTTTTACCATCCGTCCATGATGTCACTGAGCTACTACTCGTTCGAGCACTGCTTTGCTGTCTATTCGGTAAATATATATAAAAGTGGCAGTGATATATCTTCATTTTTTGAAAAAATAAACAGACGAAAAGAACGAAACCCATTTGGTCTTATTCTGTTTCCTTAATTATGTGTTTCTTCAGCCCTTCTTTCTGCCAGTGGCTCTGCATGTGATTCTTGCTGTTCTGAGAGAATTGAAAAGATACAAACAAGAAAACAGAAAGTACGTGACACGGAAAGGCTGCTCTACTTAGCTGTGTGGATGGATTTAGTTTCACCCATCTTTTTTAAAATCAAATGCATAATTTTAGTGTAACATGTATATTTAAGATTATACCACTAATTAAGAAAAAAATCTTTATTTATTTATTTTGTCCCCTATTTTTCATGGATTTTGCCGCATGAAAAAAATCTTAATTCATTAAAATACAATTTACTTTGTATTTTAAGCTTATATAGCTCTACAATTAGAAGCTCACAACTAGTATTATACTTATATTTTTAATGTTTTAATAGTACAGAATACTTTCATATTTTTGTGCAGGTTGAGCCGGGGGTCTCTTGGAAACAGTCTCCCTACTTCCGAGTAGGGGAAAGGTCTGCGTACACACACCCTACCTAGACCCTACTGTAGTGGGATTCAACTGGGTTGTTGTTGTTGTAATAATACAGAATATTATTGAGTTTCTCTCCTGCGTAGAGGAATGAGAGCCCAAACTATGCATTTGACTTAAATTGACATGGGTTTGGAAGAGTATTTTATGAGTCCAATCATTCTCACTTTTGAGAGTCCAATCAATTAAGTATGAATATAGTGCAGTGTTTACCGTCTCGTGAGTTTTTTCTTCGATTTGAAATTTCTACATAAATCTTAGGGGCTGTTTGGCAAAGCTCTGAATGATTCATTAAGAGGCTTTCTCTGACCGATTAAGAGGCTGTGTTGTTTGGTTGAAAATATTGACACCTCTGAATGATACCATACAGCACTACCCATTCAGTTATGTACCGTCTCTGAATAAAAATAAAGACTCCGCTACCCTCAATCCCTAATCTGATTTTGCATCGTCTTTTCTTCTTCTTGGATCTGCTCGCCATCGCTGCTCCCCCTCTGCAACCTCCGACCTCCTCTCCTCTCATCATCTCTTCTCTTTCCTTTTCCCTCTCCTCCACAACCCTACACCCGTCGCCCCATCCATCCCCCTTCCTCCCTCGGTCATCCCCCTCCTCCTCTGCACCCTCTGACCTCCTCTCCTCTCCTTCTCTCTTCCCTTTCCTTTTCCCGCTCCTCCGCACCCCTGCGGACGCCGCCCCATCCATCACCTTCTTCCCTCCGCATCTCTGCACCCGCCTCCCCCTCTTTCCCTCTCCTCTGTCGCGGTGCTTCCTCCTTCCTTTGCCAGGTACGTTTTTTTGTTATTACTAGTTATTTGAACTTTTTATTGGTTTGTTGTATGTTGATTGTTATTGATTGTTACAGTATTGTTGATTGTTGTATGTTGATTGTTATTCACTGTTTTTGTTGAATGTTGAAATTGTCCTTGTCCCCGTCCGATTGTTGTATTGGTTTTTGTTATGCGGAAATTGAAATTGTCCTTGTCCCCGTCAGATTCAAGGCATTACAACATTGTTGTATGTGAAAGAGTAAATTCCATAATTGGTCCTTTATAACAGGGGGGTTTCCATATTTAGTTCTCTATTACCAAATATTACCCCCGTAGTCCTTTTTTTAAAGGTACCTTTCCATAAATGGTCCTTTTTTGATCTTCTGTCATGTTGGTGTTAATTTAAAGGCTAAAAGTATAATTTAACATCAACATTATGTTTAGTAACATGTTCTGATATTGGTTAAGCGGATAACACAAAAATAATGACTATGATTGTGGGCTAGAATTCTGACGAAAGACAACATTTCTAGACTATGGTTGTAGTAGAAAGCTACTATAATTCACAAACGATACAAACGGAACAGCCTTTGGAATTGTGTATGACAAAAAAGATATATTATCATTGTGAAATTACACTTTTAGCCCTCAAATTAACACCAACATGATAGAAGATCAAATAAAGGACTATTTATTGAAAGATACCCATAAAAGAAGGACCAGTTGGGTAATATTTGATAATAGAGGACCAAATAGAGAAACCCCCCTGTTATAAAGGACCAATTATAGAATTTACTCTATGTGAAAATATGTACATGTTTTGGCTTGTTGTATGTTAGTTTGTGTATTAGAAATATTGGATTTGATATCGGTATGAAAAGATACATGTTCATTGAGGTGCTTTAAATCCATAATTTTTAGGAGCCAATATCCAAAGAAATGGCACAAAAAAGGATGCGGATTAATTGGAAGCTAGAAGGTGTTGAAAAAACCTTTCTTGAAGCATGTATTCATGAAATAACCATCAATGGACGTGAAGGAAGCAGTCTTAAACAAGCGTCATGGAAAAGTGTAGCTGAAAAATTGAAAACACAACACAATTTCATAGTGGATCAACGTCAAATGAAGAATCATTTTGATTTTCTTAAAGGAAAATTTGCAGCTTGGTTAAAGCTTAAAAACAAAACCGGGAATGTCTATGATCCACTTACAAACNAAATGGCACAAAAAAGGATGCGGATTAATTGGAAGCTAGAAGGTGTTGAAAAAACCTTTCTTGAAGCATGTATTCATGAAATAACCATCAATGGACGTGAAGGAAGCAGTCTTAAACAAGCGTCATGGAAAAGTGTAGCTGAAAAATTGAAAACACAACACAATTTCATAGTGGATCAACGTCAAATGAAGAATCATTTTGATTTTCTTAAAGGAAAATTTGCAGCTTGGTTAAAGCTTAAAAACAAAACCGGGAATGTGTATGATCCACTTACAAACACTTTTAACTTGTCAGAAGAAGAGTGGCAAATTGAGATGAAGGTATCTCTTTTAAACTAATAATTACTATTGGTATATTTATTTAATTTTATAGTATTTTAAAATTTTTCTTCACACAGTGTAACAAGTATGTAGAAGCTTTGAGAAGTGTGCTACTTGCTTACCCCGAGCTTTGTTGTCAATTGTATGAGGGGTCTACTTCAAATGGGTTTGCTAGTTGGGGGCCAAGTTCTATGCTTCCTCATCCTTCTAAGGAAGTGTATGAGCACAAGTTGGATGATATGGATGTTGTGGACGTTGAATGCACTCAAATGGATTCCCCAGGTAAAGGTGTTAGTCAGGAGTCAAGTATTCAACCCCAAAAAAAGAAAAAGGAGAGAAACGAAAACATAAGGCTACATTAGAGTCAAAGCTTATAGAAGTTGGTGAAGATATTAGCAAGTTGGCAAAGATGATAATTGAGAAACACACACTTTCTGATGATATGGATGCATGCTTGGAGAAGTTGGAGACATTGGGTTGGGATGAGTCGGATGCGAAATACGAAAAAGCGCTTTTGCTTTTTGGTGAGAGTGTCGATCTTCGGAAACTGTGGGTACGTCTTAAGGCACAAAATTGTGAGAAATGGGTTAAGAATGCAGGAGCGGAGTATGGATTGTTTTACTAAGATTGTGCTTTGATTGTTTTTTGGTTAGGTGTTATGTTATGGATGTTATGTTTTGGATGTTATGTTTTGGATGTTATATTTTGGATGTTATGTTTTGGATGTTATGTTTTGGACAATATGTTATGGATGTTATGTTTTGGATGCTATGTTTTGGACAATATGCTATGGATGTTATGTTTTGGATGCTATGTTAATGTGGATGATATAGTTGTTTATTTATGTTATGATAGGTATCTTATGGATTCGGAAGATGAGATTATAGTTTTCATGATCCTTTGTTGGTATTTTTTTTTGAACAGAAATGCAAATATATATTATCAACAAAGCATACCAAAATACAAAGGTACAGTCAATTATAGCACCCAACACAATTAACTGAAAATACTCCTATTTTACTCCTCTTGATCTCATATAGGTATCTACATGGAACTTAATTTTCTGAATAATCTCCTCACTGGACATATGCAAGCCTTGGTGCACCACTCGATTACGAGCTTTCCAAACAAAGTAGATTGTTGCTGCTAGGATAGAGTATAGTTTTCGTCTTTTCTTTCCTGGTTGAGCCTTTTTAACTCCTCCAAACAGCTCATTCAGATTATTACTTTTGAAACTGTAAAGGCACCAATTATGCAGTTTGTTGTATGTTTCTTCAGTAAAGGGACATTTATTGAACAAATGATGGGCATCTTCTGGGGCAGCTTTGCATAAGGGACATGTAGTGTCAATATCAAACATCTTGGACAACCTGACTTTAGTTTGAAGTCTACACAGGAGCCACATGATGAATTTATGTTTGGGTATTGAGAGTTTGTTCCAAACTAAGTCCCTCCATTCCACACTCTGTTTTTGACCTAGCAACCATTGATAGCCTTTATCGGGGGAGTAGTTTCCGGTGTTCCTCATCTCCCTAAATTTGTCTCTAACTTGGATAAGCTTCTTCCAATAGAAACAGTCATCATTTCTATTGTGATAATCCCAGATGCTGACTCTTTTGAGATATTTACTATGAATCCACTTGATCCACAGTATATCCTTTTTCATAGCAATATCCCACACCAGTTTCATGAAATTTGCTTTGTTCCAAGAAATCAAGTCTTTAAAACCCAGTCCTCCATATTTTCTTGGTAAACAAACTTCCTCCCAAGCCACCAAGGCAGTTTTCTTATGATCAGGAGTGGATCCCCATAAGAAGTTTCTACAAAGGGCTTGGATTTTGTTCATGACCTTTGTAGGGATTAGGAAAATTCTGCTCCAAAAATTTATGATTCCATATAGGACAGAGTTAATAAGCTTGCATTTACCAGCATAGGAAAGGTTCCTTGAAGCCCATGAGTTAATCTTGATGGTCATTTTTTCCACCATTCTTTCACAGTCTTTTGAGCTAATCCTAGATGCAGTGATAGGCCCCCCTAGGTAGGTGAAGGGGAATTTCCCTTTCTTCATGTTAACAATCTGTAGTAGTTTAGTGTCAGCTTTGGCATCAATTCCCCCAAAAATAACCTCAGACTTAGTATGGTTGATGTTAAGCCCTGTAGTTTCTCTAAAGTGCTGCAGAGCCTTCATGATACATCTGATTGTGTTCTCTTCAGCCTTGCACACCACTATAAGGTCGTCAGCAAAAACTATGTTTATAATCTTAAGGGCTTTGCAACGAGGGTGATAACCAAACTTATCCTTAGAAGCAAACCATAATAGAGACCTAGTAAGGTACTCCATGACAATCACAAAGAGTAGTGGGGAAATAGGATCTCCTTGTCGAATACCTCTACCTCCTTTGAAAAACCCAAAGCTCTCCCCGTCAAGATGCACAGAGTATGTTGTAGTAGTAATACAATATGTGATCCAACTAATGAATTGTGAGGGGAATTTTAACAGCGTGAGGATCTGTATTATAGACTTCTAGCTAACAGTATCATAGGCCTTTTGAAGGTCAATTTTCATCAAGCATCTAGGTGAAATATTTTTCCGATTGTAACCCTTGGCCAATTCTTGACATAATAAGACGTTATGTACAAGTTCCCTACCTTCAACAAATGCCCCCTGGTTCAAATGTATAATGCTAGGTAGCACATTTTTTAGTCTTCCATAGATGATTTTTGAAATGATTTTGTATATCACATTACAACAAGATATAGGCCTAAGGCCACCTGGGCTTTTGGGCTCTTCACACTAACCTCGAGAAAAAATTTGGGAAGGATAAGAGACTTGAATTCAGCATTAACCGGTCATGAATACACGCAAGAATTATTGCATGGTACTTCTACACAATGTCATGAGATGATGCGTCTTTCATGTGATGCATTTATACTATTGTGCAATCATTTTAAACAAAAAAATTGGTTGCAAAGTAGTAGGTCAATAAGCTTGGAAGAAAAGTTGGCTATGTTTTGTATGGTCATTGGACATAATCAACGTTTTCGAGTGGTTAAACGAAGGTTTCAGCACTCAACAGAAACAATTCATAGATGTTTTCATGAGGTCCTAAAGGCAATGATGAATTTCGCAAGAGAAGTTATAGTTTAAACATCTTCTAATGTTAGCGCAAATGACTCTGATCGACACAAAAGGCTAAAAGAAATATTTCCTGGAGCAATAGGTGCCTTAGATGGAACTCTTATACATGCGATTGTGCCTGTTGATCAACAGACTCGTTTACAGGGGAAGAGGAAAAGGTGAATGCTTTCAAAATGTTTTAGCAATTTGTGACTTTGATATGATATTCACATTCGTATGGGCCGGATGGGAGGGCATTGCACATGATTCACGAGTTTTAAGAGAAGTTGCATTCAACCCAAATTCTTGTTTTCCTTTCCCGCCACCAGGTTTTTAACCATTCTTCAATGTTCATTTCATACATTATTTGTTTTTTATATGATAGTTTTGATATTGATACAGATAAGTATTACCTTCGTGACGCTGCGTACACCAACACTCGTGGATTTATGACTCCCTACCGTGGAACGAGGTATTGGTTAGCCGATTTTCGACGACAACGTGCATTAACTAAGGAAGAAAGATTCAATCATGCTCACGCACAACTTAGAAATGTCATTGAACGTGCATATGGTGTTCTAAAGGCAAGATTCCCAATCCTGAAGCAAATGGCTACCTTTTCTTTTCCAATACAAAGAGACATCGTGATTGCTTATTTCGCCATCCACAATTTTATAAGGAAATGCAATATTTATGATCAGTTATTTATGGAGTATGATGAGAACACGATGTTTCATGAAATGCAAACTGGAGAAAACGATGGCCTGTTAGTTCAAGACATAGAGTGGGATTCACAAGGGATTGAGTTTATGAATTCTTTACGTGGCCAGATTGCTAATCAGTTGCTTTCAAATGATTTAAATTAAAGTTGTATGCAGAGTTGTGTAATTTGTATTTGGATTTCGTATGTTGTGTTATTTTGTTTTTGGATTCTCATATGTTTCCATGGATTTTAAAGGATTTATGTGTAATTTGGATTTTCTATGACATTTTGTATTTTCCTTTTAACAACTATCAATTAATCTGTACACTATTCAAAACTCTGTCCAAACAAATACATTCATTCAACACATAATAGTTCAGAGGGGTAAAATAGTCATTCTGCACAGTCATTCAGAGATACAGCCAAACAGCTCTTAATGATTCAGCACTTACTGGTTCAGTGTCTCTTACCCATTCAGACCTCTTACTGATTCAGCTCTTACTGGTTCAGCAATTACGGCCCCTTAGTGTTCATATATCATTTGATTATATTGTCATTTTATCATTCCGGTCATATGATTTTACTTATTACTCCTTCCCGAATTAAACTGCATATTCTTGTTTATGATATTTGCCAAAACTCATTTTCAATTGAATTTATTTAACAATTGGGACGAAGTTTATTTTTTTTATATACTTTAAAATTACGCAAAAACTCTACAAAACAAAAAGTTACATTAATAAATTATTTTAATAAATGAATAGCAAAAATAAGTATAAAAAAAGTAGATAAAATTTAACTATATAAATACGTAGTAAACAAAGAGTTTAATTAAAGATGGAGGAAGTATGACAACATAAAAGAGGAACACTAACTGCTTCCGCTAAAACTTGAGATATTTTTCCAACAGATATAATAGAAAATAATTTATTTATTCACATATGATTCCCATTTATGGAATAAATAGTCTTCAAACAAGACGTTTTCATGGGATGGATTGTGATGATTATCATGTTGCACCCACATTCCTTCCCCCTCTTTCATTTACTATGCCAACAGAAGATATACTGGCACACAACATCAAAAGCGAAAGAATATACATGTTTCAAGCAGAAGAAAAAATGAATTCTTTTTATTGAAAAAAGCAGCAAGGGTGGATATTGAAATGAGTAGTAAACCATAATTTAAAACAAGTTTTTTACACATTGAGCAAGAAAAAGAATCATGGTTACACAATAAAACTATAAAGAGTGGCAGAAAAGTATGCTAATAAATTTTTTTCCCCTGCTAGACTAGTCATACTTGGTAAATGATTGAAATCATGGAGAGACCACTTTCCAATGGAGAGACACAAAATGAGCCCATAACAGTTACAGAAGGTGCAGCCCGATTCCCGACGGGCGGACAAACTAGCAGACTCTCAGTGTTTAGACTCCAAAGCCAGAAGTATCTTCTTTCTTGGGCCCTGAAACAGTCAGATCACCAAATCTTTGCAGCCATGGTTTTTATTATAGAACAAATACAGAAATTTAAATCACGGTCAAGCTTATTCCCCCTAGAAACTAAGTGTCTCACCGGTGAACATGAATTTTCTGTGCACTAGATTGAGAGTGTTTGGAGGATAAAATGTAAAATGGTATGTGCTGTTCATGAACAAGTCTGAGAGAAAGGTGTAGTCCCAGTGGTTATTCAGAGATCTAATGAACATGCAACATTTTTGTACCAGTTCATTGTTATGCAACATTGGCAGATGATCTATCATTATCTCGCTCATTCGATCATACTATTTTACAAAAAGTTCATAAGGAAAAAATTTTATAAGTAAAAATTTCAGTCTAATTTTACCATTGGTATTCCCATAGCCTTGAGATCTTCATCTGTCATGTGTATAAGGGCAGCCATATCGACCTGCCAGAAAAAAATATAGTTTGGTTATGCCTATCCGCCTAAGTGCTTGACACTACATTAGTACATTGGAAACGTGTTGGGAAAATTACATACTTCTTCAGCTTGAAATGTGATTGCATATTTTTCAAGACCCAACGACTGCAGAAAACTATCCACAGATTCAGCCTGCATCAGATTTGCATAAATTACATGAGAGGAAATTAATAGAATTTCAGAAATAGCACAGCATAGCAAGTCAATTGGGGGGGTTTATACACTCATCCATACTTTACACAATTTGAAATATGTATCCCGTGATTTGATTTGTCCGGGATTCCAACAATACAAATACATACTTGTATTGGGAGTGGCATAAGTGGCTTCTGAGTTCTGATGGTGTTCTGGAATTTGACACTATCGGGGGAATTTAATTTAGTGTTTTATTATTTCTTCAATGATATACTGAAACTTAAGTGGTTGTTTAACAGCTTTTGAACATTTGCCATAATGTTCTGGACTTCTGGATATGAAATTCACTATCTGGGCTTGTTATTTAGATGCTTCCGGATCGTTCAATATCAACCAATTAACGATTCAAAATTGATCAAACACTATTGATGCAATTCACCGTTTGGAAGCTATCCATTAATCACAGATCATTTTATATAAAGTAAATGAAAAGAATAAGCACAATGTCCAGAATAAGAGAACATGACATGCCACTTGATGGACAATACATAATCAAGCTTGATCGAAGTTTCATTATTAGCGAAAACACGCACATAGTGTCAGTAACAGCACTACGTGGGAGCCACTTCTCGGATGATATACATTATACATTTTATTAGCTATACTAAAACATAGCAACGCAGGCTCTACCATACTACCTCTGTCCTAGGGCTGTCAATGAGCCAGGTATGGACCAAAATCAATAGGTCCAGACTCCAGACCCCCACCCGTTATAAAGAAAGGCCTACCGGGTCTGGGTCTGAATCCAGATCTAGACATTAGTAAACATTACAAAGTTTTTTATTTCATGTTTAGATCCAAATTTATATTTGGATTAAATTTACATATAGAATAAATATATACGAGTACATTTTTATGTTATCAAAGTCTTTACATAATTACTTTTACTACTCAGATAAATTGAAAGTATTTACTTCAAAATTGAATATACTATTCTAACACAATCATTCTAAAAAATCTTAAACACTAAACGTCTACACGTGTATTTTAGTAAGTAAACCCTAATTCTCATGCTAAATAATATCAGAGTAACTATTTAAATCTCAATCTTCTATTTCAACATTTTTAAGTGTATATTACTAATATTTTTCTATAATACTCCCTCCGTCCCGGAGTATTCGTCCAGTTTTGACTTTTGGAACTGTTCATCTAAGCACTTTGACTCATCAAATTCTCTCAATGCGTAAGCCTAAATATAGTCATGTGTGATCTTGTTTGATTTGTATAGATTATTAATATATAATTTCTATAATTCTTTAATATACAAAATACAAGATAAAATGGATTAAAGAAGTGTATTGGATGGTGTGTAAAAATGAAAGTGGACAAATACTCTGGGACGGAGGTAGTATCATTCAATTTTTTGTACTTATTATTTATTTATATCGGGCTGATGTGCAGAACAGAGTGTTCCAAACCAGTTTTATAATTTTTAAAATGGATCCCGATCCAAACAGAATTAAATCTACACTATACTTACAAATAAATCATGGGTAACCAGCCGGAATCGGGTCCAAACCAAACCTATTGATAGGCCTACTCAATCCCATATAAAAGTTCTATGTTGGACCAGACGTTTATTTAAAAAGTGAAACTGTGTGATCGAGATGCAGATGAGAAAAAAATAATATGAATCACATATTTCTTTCTTTAAAAAGAAACTAGAACCTTAATTTTGGACCCACGAAAAAAGGAGAAATATAACCTTTCTCGAACGGGGTGTATTTACATATGATTTTCCATAAGATGTGTAAATTGATGGTTAAGAGCAGTTTTTTAGCTATAAATCTTATTCTACACCATTCATGAACTTTTAATTTTTTTAAGGAACACATAAAGTATAAGCTAGAAGCCTAAGAGATAAACAAAGTTCATCAATGTAGAGTGCTTTAACTTTTAAGGCTCGCCTCAATGTGAGGCATTCAGGATGGGTATCGTCGTATCGAGGCCTCAACTTATTTGCATGATAAGAGGCTTACACCCCAATGAGTCAAGGCGCGCATTGTGAGGTGCAGCTCAAGTCATTTTTGAGTTGGGAGTAATAAGGCCTATATACTCAAAGTTATCCCATATAATTTTTCTAAACCCTAATAGATGAGAAGAAATATACTCCTATGTCCGGACATAAAGTTTTACAAAGTTTGCTGGATATGGTGATTACTAAAGGCGAAAGTGTGTGGTGGAGTTATGTGCAAAGGTGAGAAAAATAGTATAAACCACAAGATTCCTTCCATCAAAAGGAAAGAGGAACCTTTTTCTGGGAAATGCAGAGTCTTTTTATGGGACCGATGGAGTATTAAATACTCTCTATTTTTCCAGTGGGAGGCTCCATCGGGTAGGGGTGAGCAACTGTAAGTTTTGGTTAGAAACCAAGAAAACAAATATAAAACCCGAAAGTAAAGGTCTCAGTGTTTCTAAGGGAATTATTAAAATAGTAGAAAGAGAAAATATCCATCTTGGAAACATAGTGTTAACGTAACAATATAATCATGTAAATATTTAGTTGATTATTAGTAGGTAACCTATTAAAAATTTAACTTGTTTTATATTTTGAGGCTTACGTCTCAAAGCACCTCAAGGCTTACGACTCACCTCTTTGAAGCAAACTGCTTTGACACAGCCCAAAAATATCTATAAAATTCTAATCGTTTTCAAAATCAGTACTCTAACATTAAAGTAATTGAATAAATACAAACTGAAATGCAAGTTAAGACTAAGACAAAATAATACCCTGTAAAACATTGACGTTGCTAGAATGCTACTAAATTTTTTTTTATAGCATCAAGAGAAAAATATTCACAAGAAGACTTTTAAAAGTGTAGCAGAGGAAGTTCTTACCTTCTGCTGACTCTTCTTCTTAGAAGTTGTGCTGGCACCATTCTTCGTTTCCGATGTTGGGGTATCAGCAACCACACTTTTCCTAAGAGGTTTACTGACCTCAAATGCTGAATTTGGCTTTGGTTTGAATTTATCAGCCTCCGCACCAGAGAGTTTTTCACGTAGATCCGTCACACTTCTTTTCTGCAGCTTAAGACGAAGGTCCTTTGCACCAAGTTTGCGACCTGTGCAATGATTATGGAAAAAAGCTTTGCCATAAGAACATATATAGAAAGAAATAATAATCAATCCTAATAGGAGAAACTGTTGGTCGATAGGATATAGCAAGTTTGCATCATAACATACTTGAAATTTGAGCTGTTCCGTGCTCGTATAGGTCATGCTCCCATTTGTCATCATCTTCCCTGAGTCTGCACAGAAAGGGATGAACATCCTAAAGCCATCTGCCTATGGAAAGGAGAAAACCATTGCGACCCAATTTGTTTCTTATTCCATTAAATTTAGGTGGAAAAAGTATGTTACCCTAACATGAAACAAAGCCTCACGGAACACAATTACATAATCCTTTCAAAGTTTAACACTTCTTCACATCCTTATAACTCAAACATGGAAAAACAGCAGGATAAGCTATCAAAGAATTCAAAATTCAACTTTTTTTGTCTGAAAAACTTGGGAGATAGTAAAATTCAAAAACTCCCCTTATACATAGAACCCTCGCATCCACATACACACAGGAGGCGAAGTGTCTGGCTAGAGAGAAAGAGAAAGATCGAACCTCTTGCCGGTGATTTGTTGTCGGCGACCAGAGCTAGCAACTGATTTTCCGATGAGCCTGTCTCTAACTGAAAGCCTGTCGCCAGCTTCCACTCGATCAGCATACATTGTAAAGATTACTACTAATGGGGCGCCTGGAAGAGCTAGAAAGCTTAATTCGCAGCTTCAAACCCTAACGCCAAAACTAATACTGCATTCGAATCTGGAGATGGAAAAAAATTGAATCTTTATATGATATTCGGAATGGCGATTACAGAAGAAAGGGAGTTGTAGGAGGCATGGTGCTCTCCCGGTGCGATGGTGAATCGTGGGCGGGATTGCGGAATATATATGGTTCTGCAGAGATTTTATTATGCTCGACGATCTGAGCAGCCCAATTGAAACGGGTCGGGTCAGCCCGGCTTTCCAAATGTCAATTCCAGTATGCGCCGGTTGCGCCCCCAAATTCCAAAGAGCCTTTGGTGTCTTTGGCTCTTTGCACCTAAAATGCTCGAATAATTCATATTAATTCAAAATAAACTCAATTATAAGAGCATAAGTGATGGCAAGTAGAAAATGGAATGTCATAGAGTGACGTCTAATATTAGGGGCGCGCATGGTACTGTATTTAGCTAGTACCGATACCGTACCAAATATTTCGATTCGGTATGGATTTTACTTCGTACCGATCCCGATCCCGATTCCGAAATATTGGTTAGGTATGGTTCGGGATGGTTTGGTATCGGTTTCGGTACAAATCGGGATAAATATATATACCAATTTTACACGTCAAAATTTAACAATACCCCTTTATTTTTGAAAATTAAAAGTGAATTTAAATAAAAAATATGAAAAATTAAAAAAATGAATATTTAAATGCAAGAGATGCGTATCAAAACTTAGTTTATATTTCACAAACTAAAAAAATGAATGACAACAAAGGAGTATTTCGAATCTTTGTGAATACTTTTATGTTCATACATAAAAATTAAAACTCAAATAAAAGTATAATTTACACATCATAGAACTTGAACCAAATTTTTTTAAAAAAATTATTATTTAGTGAAGGAATATAAAAATATTACTCCGGGGTATTATTTTTTATAATATTTTAGTATATATGTCTGGTACGGGATTTTCGGTATGGGAGGTCACCTCGTACTGTTCCCGAATACCGTACCGACCATTCGGTTCGGTATGGTTCGGTTTCTTCTCGGTACTTTTTCGGTTCGGTATTCTCGATTTTTTCAGGAAATTTTGGTATCAGTTTGGTACTTGCTCACCCCTATCTAATATTTTAACCAATCAAAATAAGTCTAGTAGTGTGTAACAAGTGTGTGGAGCAGTATGTCTTGAGAGCAGATTGCCTCGCACATGACTTACAAGGCAAGGTGGAATGCCTTTGCCACCCCATGATTTTGGAAAATTGGAGCTGAGGTGGCAAGGTGAGGCATTGTAATCCTCGCCGCCAATGCATATGCTCTAAATATACACTTCTTAATGTGATTTAACTTATTTCACAGTTTCACTAAGAATAGTTTGAGCCTGGAGTTCCAAACTGGGATTTTAAACCTTCTTTTTAATTTTTTGGTACACCTTTTAAAAAAGTAAATTAATAAGATTTAATTAATTAATTAACTTTAAACCGCAACAATGCATTCAAAAAATACATTCAATACAAAAAGTACATTAAATTTTAAAAAAATACATTTATAAAAAAACTAACACGTATTATATTGAGCCTTGATCTCGTTTTGTTTTTTTCTCGTAGTACATTCTTTCGAATTACGTTAACAAATTAAGGTCGATTTCCATTCTTTTGAGCTCCTCCTTGCAGGCCGTTATCATCGTGAGAGAAAACTCGAGTCAATTGATTTAGCCTTCTTTCTTCCGATCGGTCGTGGAATGGAGTCTTCTTCATCGTAGTCGTCTAGGTTGATGGGAGACCCTATGTTCCAACAAGCCAATAGAGTCCTTTGCGTTAATCTCGGCACAAGATCTTTTCTTCGACGATCTGGCCTCGGGGTTGCAGAGTTGTTGCAATTTCGATGAACGGCTTAAAACTTTCCAAAAATCAATGGGGACTGTGTCTTGGTGTTCGTCGTTTTGATACCGGGTGGTGGCTAGCCGCAGAATATCAGTATTGTTTGTATCGCTCTTCTTAGAATGAGCGCATTCATCGTACACTCCAATTAAATTTCGGACCTTTTCTATTTATGTGGCCACATTTGGAAGTATGTTGGTCTCGGGTTTAGTAGGGGGTCCTTTTTCATTGCGGTAAAGAACTTTTTCCTCAATACGGTCTCACATCGCATCCCTCATTTGATTATAACTTTTAAGAAATAGTATAAACCCTTGAGTAAAGGTTCAAGGATAGCCTTTCAAATCTTTACGGAACGATTGAAAATAGCCGTGATATGTTTGGTGTAAGCGGTTCGAGATAGCCGTAGAGAAATCTTGAAGTGAATCCTATTGGCAAGGGTTGTTTGCCAAACTAGTATGGTGCTTTGACGGAGTTCAAGAGGACCGAGACTTAGTGGATTCCGAAATGCTCAAGGAGGAGCCTTAAGGTACCGGAGTAGGGAGTTCCCGAACTAGTATAAAATTGGTGTGTCTTTACTTTACGCCTTTATTTCTTCATTTTATATATTGCTTCCGCACTTGTTAACACCAATTTTACTAAACTCCAAAAAGTTTTTAAACGTCTTATTCAACTCCCTCTAAGGCGTGGACACACTGACTAACAATTAATATCAGAGTAGTTTCGTAGTTGAAAGTGTTTAACTGCATCTACGATAAAGATCTACTTGTGCCCATTTTAAATTAAATTTTAAAACCTTAACATCAACAAGAGTCAATCCAAGATGCCAATAGAAGGTTCAATGAAATAATAAAAAAGTTGGGCAAGTTGGGTAAGGAATATTTTACAAGTTAATTAAATACAAATAATTTACTTTCTTTGCCAAAAAAGTGGCAAAATAGCATTGTAAATTTATTGCCCAAATGCGCAACGGAAATCACCGCCCACATTTAATCTTTTTTGTATTCTCACGAGCTTTTTATGATTAAGATGAAAGAAGAATATTTGAGAGAAGATCCAAAATGAACCAATATGTTTAAGGCATCCAAGGAGGAATCCAGTGATGACTCAAGTGACTCAAGCGAAGCGTCAAGTGAAACGGATGAAACATATAGTGACTCAAGCAACAAGTCAAGTGATGATGATGAAGAGGAGGCGATGAAAATGAAATATAAAGATTTCCTCAAATGGAAGAAGTATGTGAAGATGAAAGAAACGTATTCCAAGCTGAAGAAAGAACGAAATATACCAAGGTAAGCTTTTCTTACTTATTGAGATAGGATTTTTTTCTAGTTTTTAATTGTTTTAAAACTAAAATCTTATTCCATATGTGCTCAAGTCAGTTTTTGCATTGGTTTAATTTGCTTGATTAAATAATTTTTCAAAATTCATTTATAATAATGTCTTTTGAAAATAATCTTAAATCCCTAAGAAATATAGTTTTAAGACTTCCATTATCTTAGGGGGAGTTTTATTGTAAATGCACGTTTTATCCAATGATCTCAAACTATTGCTTTTCCTTAAAAAAAATCAGTTTGATAGGGGAAGTATTTCAAAAAGTTATACATGTTTAAAATCTTCAAAATGCCCTTTTTGATTTTGACGAAGGGGGAGAAGTTGTATACTTTAAAGTGGTGAATATGCANACATGACTTTAGTGCATTCTTGTGAAATTATGTGCATCAAACTTAAACTTTTTTTAAACACAAGAAAATTTTAAAGCGAGTATTTTAAATATGCTAATTCTTGGGGGGGGGGGGGGGGGGGCTTGCTTGTTTCATTTGTTCACTCCCACCTAACTCACTTTGAAATATATTTTTTGTATACATCAAAAAGGAAAAGATTTTTAGCCTTGATTTTGATGTTAACAAATAATATAAGAGATAACGTTTGTTTAAGTGTTTCAAATACAAAAAGAATCCATTAAGATTTGGTTCTCAAAAATGAAGTTAAAACACTAAACTAGCGTAGAATATATATAGGTACAAACAAATGTGAGGTATAATTTTATATACCACTATTCACAAGCTCAAATACACTCATAAAATATGTTTAAAACATTCTTATAATCACTTTCAAACATCCAAAAGGTTTTAAACAAAATTGGAAATGATTTGGCCAAAATGAAAAAAATCATCACAATGGTCAAGAACATACGTACCGTCTAGGATACCGTTAGGACAACTACCGTTAGCCTGGGAAGGTACCGCCTACGATACCATTATCTCGGGACCCCTCTATCATCTTATCGGGACCCCCCTATCAGAACAGGTACAGTTATAACAGATATTTACGAATTTTATACGTATTATATTACAAAATTCTTAGGGTCCAATTTCGATGAGATCAAATTACTTGATTGTCTCTCTTCAAAAATATAAATCTTTAAAATTTAGTGACTCGATAATGGTAAAAGTATTAAAAGTTAGATCGTAGTTCAAGTCATCCACCAATATCTTTTATTAATAAAATGTCACCCACACTCTACCAGTCTCTTCGACTTCATCCGACTGGAAATCCAACATTGCATCCGCACTAACGAATAGTAGACAACAACATTTTCTCTATTTGTTTAGATTTTGAAAATGTGATCAATTTTTTGTATTTAGGTCTTAAAATTAAATATTTGTCCACGTTTAAAAATACAAATTTGGTTTCATTTGTATGAACTAAATTCAAATAATCTATGTTTGTAATTATATATTTGTATTCTAAAAAATAAAAAATATAAACTAAATTTAATTTTACTCAACTTTAAATTGTGTAAAACATTATTTAGTAAGTTCATATCATATCATATATATATATATAAAGTAGGCTTTATTAGCTGTGGGGCTGACACGTGGCAAGCCACATAGATGCTTATTTGGCTAATATTTCCTGACTCATCAACCTCAATGATTGGAATCATATTTCATCCGTTACTTTCTATTGGGTCTCTCTAGAAGTTCTTTAGACGCTGGGAAGCGGCGATTCAATAAGCAAGAAACCTGGATAGCCGCTCAAATTTCTTCCGGTGTTGAATCGCAGGTATGTCATGTCCTGTTTTTGAGTTTTGTTCAACGCCCAGGCCATTAAAGCTTTCGTACTGCTACGAGGTTTACAGGTTCCAAATTAAGGACTCCAAACCCGTTAAGAGGATTTTAGCAGGGGGAGATTGGTTGGCGGCTAGGTCATCAAATGTCGGAGGGTTTATTTGGTTTTTTCGGGTCATCAGATTACGTGTTTGTCTTTAATGTTTTTAATTTTTGATGGGTTCTACATTTAGCTTTCCTTTTCACTAATGTTTTGTTTCTGGCCTATCACCGTGGCCAAATCTTGGTAGGTGCCGCTTCTATTTTCTCCTCTTCTGGGTTGAATTCCAATTTGGTGGTCCATAGACTTTGCTAATATTTGTTTATCCTTGATTTGGATTTGTAACTAAAAGATTCATTTCTTCCTGTTTTTGTCTTTGGGTATTCAAAAAGATCTGATTTTTAGTGTTGATGAAATGAAGAATCTGTGTACAGGCCATTATGGACTAAAAGTTCAATAGAAACTGAGTTTTGCATCTTCTTATCAATTCCACAAGTTTAGAGTTTGTTATTTTGGGTCAAGCCCATTCTTTTCTTTACTTCAACATACCAGAAACAAGATCTGCATTTCATTTCATGCCTAATTTTATAATTAAAATTAAATTTCTTCCAGATTTCATCTATGGGTATTAAAAAGATCTGATTTCTGTTAAAAAAAGATTTGTTCTTTAGAGCTGATGACATAAAAAAATCTGTAGTGAAGAGTGCAGGCAAGAACAGATAGAGAAGGATAGAGCCAAGGAGAAAAGTTTGAATCTTTCTGCATACATGAAAGCCATGAGGAAGAAAGATCACAAAAGGTCTTCATCTCCTCCTACCCAATCCTCTCCACAGGGCTATAGTTTAGCTACAGTTGCTGCTGCTTATGCATAACATGAAGGATGAAGAACAAATGGAAATTTTATAAGGATCAAGTATAGTTCTAACATGCAGCTTCTATCAAGTATCTTTTCTTTGATGCAAAAGTTGTTTCACTTCAGTGATGACCTCAAGAAGTTATGTAACCGCCTCCATTTTGTTGAATCCACTCACATGCAATACTTATTTTTAGGAAACAAAACTTCTGAGGTTGAATTCTCCCAGCTATTGAAATACTACTCTTATGTTTGTACGTTACTGCATTATAGTTACAACATCCCCATGCCATCCCCCAAAGTCAGTGGCTTAATTCTCATGGGGATGGCATGGGGATGTTGTAACTATAATGCTGGCATTAATTTTCTGTTACTTCAATATGAAATTTGTTTCTTTTCCCTCTCTGATAAATGGTAGATGATAATTACAAATCTGATCTCACATAATTATGCTAATAAGCAACTATTTCTATTGTTTTTCTTTTGGGTATTGCAATATGGCTAAATCCGCTGCATTTATGGTTAAATGGTCAATTTTGCCCTTAAAAATCTGATCTCCGTAATTATGCTGGGGTAAATTTGAGGTTCTGAAGAATGTTTGTGTTCATTATCTAATAAGTGTTGCCTCTGTATGTTAGCATTTAACAAACATGCTTCTTCTCAAGTGAAACTGCTCCTGATTTGTTTAAAACTCAACTCTTTGATTTCTTCACCTTAGATCAAAGGTACGATTATATTTTGGGAAAAAGGTGCTTTGGCCAGCGAATCTTCTTCTTCTTTCAACTGGAAGGTGGCGATCACGGCCAGAAGTCTTATTTTTTCTATTGAGCTGACATCAAGGTAAACCCTAGCTCATACTTTTTGTATTCCATTTTTTCCAATTTCAAAGTTTTAAGTTTATTTAGTAATAAGATTGAATGTTCACATCGTTTGGTTTCATTTCTATAAAGATCTCATTTTTCCATTGTTCAATTCTTCATTCATATTGTGCTAAATTATAGAGTTTTTGTCTCGAATGTGTCAAAGACTCAATTTTACATCATTTTCCGATTCTGATTTTGTTCCCCCCCCCACCCAATTTTTTCCTTTTCAAAAGATGGGTTGCAATTACATCAATTACTCTTTTTGATTAAAAAGGTTTCGTATGACACAATTGGCCATAACTTTGGCCTCAAATTGGGAAGCCAGTAATATGATAAGATCATATTACTATGGACTTTGGCCTCCAATCGGACTTGATTCATTATGGACTCTTTTTCCAACTATGCAGCATTTATGATCTTTTTATCTATGGAGCCATGCATCAAAAGTTCACTATTATGATGCACATTTCTATCCATAGCAAACTTTTTTTTGAGACTGTACTAATCTCTATGAAATTGTCTTAGAGGATGTTTTGGATACAAATGCTAAGAAGGGCAAGATTTACTTTTTCAACATTGGGACTGACATGTGTCATATGACTCGGCGCTTGGCTTGATTTTTCTTTCGGAGTTAGACTGCATTCTCTACCCGAAGGGTTATGAGTTTATGTGTCTAGCCATGTAGGGCGCTTTTATGATTATTTGGAAAGTATTTTCTTTACTAACCAAATATAATGTTTCCAATCCTGATGTTGGCAGGGGCAATCAACATGTCCGTGGCGCATTTGTCAACGCCTCCACTGGTTTGGACTAAAGACAATGCACTATCTTTTTGCAAATGAGCAAATAAGTTATGGGTAAGTCAGTTGGAATAATTACCTTTATATGCTGTTTCCACTTAGAATGGTTAAAAATTCTACATTTTTATAAGTAACAACTGTATTTAGATAACAGAAACTAGACACTATTAAAATGGAAACAAAAAAAGAGAGCTTTATGTGTTGACGCTCCATGTGTTGACAACCAGCTGGTGTGCCACTAGAGATGTGATTGTTCAGAATCGGAGAACTCCAATAATGCCCACGCTATGTACCGACCATAAGAACGATTTTCAGCTGTCACTTCTACTCTAGAACTATGGTTGTAGGTTTTCATATAAGACGGTGCAGGGGCTGGGTCACTTTCTTCATTGTTTTCTAATGTAAGTTTCATTTATACATCAATCCCCTTATCAATTCCTTATTCATTTCATTAATTTAATGTTAAATTTTATCTCAACATTCTCAAGAACAATTTATAATTTTCATTTGTAAGTGAAAAATGAAATTAGTTCGATGGTTGGATTCTATGATTTGCACACAAAACATCTTCTTAATTCTTTTGCAGGAACCATTTTAAAAATTTCAGGCCACAAATCACTGGAAAGGCACACGTGATCTGCATTGAAGCAAAACTGCACAAATGAATTCTACCTGGGCATCCCACGCATGATCTTATCATATTAGTGGTAACAAGGATTTAATATTATGCCTGCACTAACTTCTGATAATAACAATGAAAAATGTCCAATTTGTATGGTATGTGCTATGGTATGAAACCATTGCATATATATATCAAGAACACATCTTAATCTTCATTAGTTCATTTTATGTCGGATTAGATAATTGTTGGGCTGGTTTGATAGGGGTCCCTAAAGATTAGATTTTAACCTCATATTCTATAAGTTTTCTGCGCTCTTTTTAAAAGAAGGTAGTTATTTTCATTTCTTATTCTCGCTGATTTTTTTGTAATACTGTTTTATGCTCTCATCAAGGTCTATTTTCTCAGAGTATTATGGACCCATTGACTACGACATGTAATATCTTAGACATTTTTTTCCTATTTTAGGGACTATAGCTTGGCTTGACTTTTTCACTAATCTCCCACTGAAGGTAATCTTGATATCTTCTTTGTTTTTTTATTAGTATTATTACTTGGAATTATTGTGCAATATTGCTGGGTTCCAGCATATGATCACTGGTTGCTAGGAGCCTAAAAATTTTGTCTAAAGTATTTATATAAATGACGCTTTTTCCACTGCAAATGTTAGTTACCACTTCACACTATAGAATATGCATCCATCTCAAACATGTCATCTCCAGCACATTAGTGACTATCAAATGCCTTTACGCAAGCATGGGTATTTGAGCAAACACACCTATGGAAACTTAAGTCTTAAAGTAAGAAAAAATTCCAAATTCTAAAGCCTGATGGCACTTCTTATGGGGTTAAATGATGCATGCGATGAGTTTTTTGATGTACCTGAGCCATTACATTTGGATCAATCAGATAATGCTTGGCCATCTGACTTTGTGCTGGAGATGTCCTCTCAGGTAGAGTGTTACACATTTGACATTTGCAATGTTATAACATGACAAAGCTCTAACTTCATGCTGGCCATGTTATACTTATGCAATCCTTATAACTATAAACTAAGTCATTAATTCATCCTGGTCATGGACAAACATTTGTCTACACATCCATGAAGTTAACAATTTGATTGTTTGGTGATCTGTATGATGTTAATGCCCATTTACTAGCCTCAACAGTTCCTGCAGATGTTTTTTACTCTTCAAGTTCAAGAATTTAATTGTTTCCTGATTTCTTTCTTCCAGGATACACGGCATACAAAAGTGTCACTTGCTGCTGTTTTGGTGAAGAAAGTGCATGTTATTGCAGGTTAGTTTCATAGGACCTTTTCCAGAACATACTGAACACCTGACAGTTTGAATAAGACAAGTGAGAATAAAAGAAGTTGTAATTTCCCTTGCAGATGGAGCGAAACAGATCCCTCCACTTCTCTAATACGCGGAGAAAATTTAGATGATCGTCAGAAGGTGAATTTCATTAAACCTAAGCTTAAGAATACACCCCACTCTCAAGTCCAATACAAACTTTCTAACATTACCCATTTTCTGCACGATGTTCTATATATTAAAGCAAGAGGCACGATGATGCAAATGGTCGGTGAAGATTGGTTGAAATCGGATAAACAGGAAGATGATCGTGATGGTTGGGAGGGGAGCATTGTTCAGTTTTTTCCAAATATCAATGGGTATTCACATTTCATCCTACATTTTTTTTAATATAATGATCCGGTTAACTTCGAAATGGTTTTGAGAATCCAATTCCAAGGTCATCTATGAGGTTGGTGTGTATTACCTTTATGCTGTAAAAATATGCTGCAAAGCGTGGGCTGGACTTCTTCTTCATTCTTCACATACAAGTGAAAATTTAGTTTGTTGTACACATTCTTCTCTTCTTTTAATAGCATTCTAAAAATAAAATTGTGAATTCTGACAATCAAGCTCCCGGATCAACAACATATAGTCTTGCTTTATACTATATGATGGATACTCCTCAAAAAGATACACCTTTGCTTAAAAGCTTTGTAAAAGGGGATGATGCTTATAGGAATTCAAGGTTCAAACTTAAACCTTTCATATCCAAGGTTTGTAATCTTTTTACAACGTCAGTATGAGACGTTACATCTCCCTTCCTCCCTCTGTCTATTCCCAAATATCAATCTTTTAAGGTTTTTTATTTTGTCTAAACTCACCCTCCTACAATTTACGATCCATATGACTTACCAGCCATTTCTGGACAGTGGGATTTTAATAATCATTCTATAAATAAATTGCATTCATGATAATTTAATACAGCACACATAATTACCAGAATAAATATGATACTTAAATACATCATAAATGAATAAGAAAACCACCTCTGAGCATATGAAAAGACAATATGCAAGAACTAGACATGCTCTTATAAATACTATACTATTACTACATAATCAAACACACAAACTTAATCAGTATATGGATATGAATATAAACAGCCATGAACACGAAATTTCAAGAAGAATATACCAACAAGCACGAAAAAGGCGGAAACTCATTCTTCTGAATAAGAGAAGCAAACAGAGGCACACGAGCACAAGTCATCAGACAACTCTGACCACAGAAGATATGGCAGGTATAAACACTAAGCATAACTACTTTTTGATAGTGAATTGTACCTTTCTTTAACATAATTCTTTCCCTATTATACATTTGAATGTTCATTTTTCAATAGGCCCCCCAAGAAGATATCAGCCCCAAGCACAACAACGCACATTGCATGAAAATAATCCAGGTAAGTTTATTACTACAGAACCCATTACGAATACAAGTTTCTTAATTAGAAATGAGCAAATAAACCCATAAATTTGGCACTTCCGAGACTTGGCAGATCCTAAGAAATATCAGAGGTATTTCATAATAACCCATCAACAAAATGTTTGTTTTCGAAGCATCCTATCAAAATTTATGAACCATTTTCCATGAATGTCTGCTTCTGATACATCCAGTGTGAAATTGATATATACTTGCAATTTATTACAGTTTCATTTATATGTGCTGCTGATTTAGTTTCGAATGTATTCTGGACCTGTTTGGCAGCCTTATTTGCCGCCTTTGTATTCGGCATGATCAGTATACCTACCTTTTGACTGAATTACTTGACTGAGGTACTTGCTGGACAGAAGAGTTTGTACAGGGGAGTACTACTGGATCCATGATAATGGGATCGTTTTGCTCACCCAAACATGTGAGTACATTATGATCTACTTCTTGGATGATTGGCATACTGGAAGGTAAAGGCCTACTGTGTTTGTACTACCTGAGGAGGCATAACTTTGCACCTAAACGAATGCTTGCTTTCTGAGTTAATTGGAAAGCTGGACTCCCCCGATCTAGGAATCTGAATTATTCTGCGCATCACCACGTCGCGAACTTTGTGGTCTACTTAAGTGATGTGTATTGTAAATAATAAATTTACCAACTTTTACTTAAGTTTTGTTTTGCAGTAAAATAACTATGATGCATTTTACATATTCCAAAAAAAAGTTTCTAACTGTTTTTTAAAAATTACAACACTCTTGACATGGAGATTTATTTATGAAAGTAATGCTTCATGCCCTTTATGGCTTTAATAAAGAAAAATTGGTGATAGCAACTACCTTGGTTTGCTTTAACGGTGGTTTATTTAATGCCCAAATTTGCTAACGCATGCTTTTGTAATAATAGATCAACTTTATTCACCTCTGACCTCACACACGGTTTTACTATTACTTTGCTCTTTACCTTAGGTTGTTTTTTGTATTCCGACCGACACTATTAGTAGGGGTAAGCAAGTACCGAACCGATACCGAAATTTCCCGAAAACATCGAGAATACCAAACCGATAAATACCGAACCGAAAAAGTACCAAGAAGAACTGAACCGTACCGAACCGAATGGTCGGTACGGTACTTGGGAACGGTACAAGGTGATGTCCCATACCGAAAATTCCGAACCGAACATATATACTAAAATATTATAAAAAAAACACCCCGGAGTAATATTTTTATACTCCTTTACTAAATAATATTTTTTTTTCAAATAAAATTTGTTCAAGTTCTATTATGTGTAAATTATAGTTTTATTTGATTTTAGTTTTTGTTTATGAACATAAAAGTATTCACAAAGATTCGAAATACTTCTTTATTGTCGTTCACTTTTTTAGTTTGTGAAATATAAACTAAATTTTGATACGCATCTCTTTCATTTAAATATTCATTTTTTTTAACTTTTCATGTTTTTTATTTAAATTCACATTTTAATATTCAAAAATAAAGGAGCATTGTTAAATTTTAAGGTGTAAAGTAGGTATGTATATTCATTTCGATTTGTACCAAAACCGATACCGAACCATCCCGAACCATACCGAACCAATATTTCGGGATCGAGATCGGTACGGAGTAAAATCCCATACCGAACCTAAATATTTGGTACGGTATCGGTACGAGCTAAATACCGTACCATATCGTACCATGCTCACACCTAACTATTAGGACAGTTTGTCATGACACAGTATTTGAGTTATTCATGAGGGAAAAGTTCTTCCCGTTTACATTTATTGCAAATTTTTAAAGTTTAATACTATATTATTTTAAAGAAAACACGTGAACTAAATGGAGAAAATTGACATCCAAGAAGCATACTGCGGGTCTTACATTTTGTATATTATTACGAGTCTAGATTGTGTGAAAATCATTTCTACTTCTTAATTCTTGATTTCTATTTGCAAAGGAAAATTAACTATCCAACAAAAAATTAATTGGCATAACAGGCAATACCTAATTTCCATGGGACAAACACGTGCATACATCCCCAGCCCGTGCGAAGCACGGGGTAGACAACTAGTTTAAATTATAAAGAGACTTAAATCTTCCTTTAAAACTTATGATAAACATTTAATCAATTTTCTAAAACATAAATTGTCTAATAATATAATTTTTGTCATGTCTTAAATGCTTTGTTCGTGTCTAAATGTTGGCTTCATTTTTCAGAATGAATTCTTACTTTGAATATGTTTTGGGGAAGTACTACCTCCATCCCTGAGTATTTGTCTAGTTTTGATTTTTTTCGGTCAACTGTTTACAACTTTTGACCTATATTTAAATAAAACATCTATTGTATATTAATTAGATAAAATAATATTTTGAAAATATTTGATATAATAAATCTAATAAAACTATTTTTGTATCAATAACTAATTTCATTTTTATTTAATTTGAAGTCAAAGTTTGCAAATTTTGACCAAAAAAAGTCAAAAGTGGACAAATACTCAGAAACGAAGGGAGTACATAATAATAATTAGATTGAAATATCTCCTTCGGGTACATATGGGAAAAAATGAATAAATAATAAATCGTATTGTTGGTTGAATTTTTAGAATTTTGTGATGTCTTTGTATTCCACTAGACTCGAACCTGTGCGTTGCACGGTCAAATTATTTACTAAATAATTGGAATAGGTTTAGAAGAAGTAATAAGTGACAAAAAGCGATAAATTAGAAAATTAATACATTTTTAAACAAAAGAAAATATACAATAATATAATACTATATGTCCATAGGTAGGATTATATGTTTTGAAAAACTTTTTTAAAACCTACATTTGTAGTTCAGTTAGAATATGAAATCCCTTCATTGCAAATCACATTGTTTTGAAACAATTACGGGCAAAAGTTGAGCAATTAAGAAACCAAATACAATACATATTATCTTTTTTTAAAATATGTATAGTGCATATTGAAAAGATACTCCGTATAACATTTGTTAAGTTGCTCAAAGATGATTAAGGGGCTGTTTGACAACTTCTGAATGGGTAAGTGCTGAACCAGTAAGAGGTCTGAACCATTAAGTGCTGAACCAGTAAGAGGTCTGAACCATTAAGAGCTAGTATATTGCTTAACTATTCAGAGGCAAATGTCTGATCAATTCAGATAAGAGGTCTTAACCATTCAGACTCTGTATAATACTTAACCATTCAGAGGCAAATCTCTTAATCATTCAGACATCTGAACCATTAAGAGGCTCAAACAAACAGTCTGAACCATTAATTGCTGAACCATTCAGACATCTGAACCATTAAGAGGCTGAAACAAACAGCCCCTAAGTGTACGCATAGCTATCATTGATGTATTTAGAACTCGATAAGATTATTAAGTTAGACCTTGTGCTCCATTTAATTCCATAAAACTATGAGGAAGTAGATCTTTCATCACATGCAGATCTTCCATTTTCCATGTACACCATTATTGTCTAATGTTTATACATAACTAAATATAACATGCAAGAAACAATGTATTTTCATTGACTGTAATATTTAGTTTTATGTTCTAAATTTAATATTTCAATCCAAAATGCTAACATTAGTCAATTTAATAATAAGCATACAAATAGTTATAATAGTTATCACTTTACAAAAATCCATCAAAATAATCACACTGCATGCATTACATAAAGAAATTCTATTCAACAATATGAATGATTTCCCAAAATCAACCCACAATAACTATACTATAGAAACAAAATCAGCCAACATTTACATCTTTAACTATAATATTGCGTGAAAGTTCAATGAACACCCGTTAGAAAATATGACTTCGTTAAAAAGCAATATAGAAAAAATATACTCTATCCGTCCCACTGTTTTTGTCCACTTACCTTTTGGCATACCATCCAATGCACTTCTTTAATCCATTTTATCTTGTAATTTGTATATTAAAAAATTATAGAAATTATATATTAATAATCTATATGTTAAGACGAATCAAACAAGATCACACATGACTATTTTTAGGCTTACACATTGAGAGAATTTGATGAGTCAAAGTGCTTAGATGAACAGTTCCAAAAGTCAAAAGTGGACAAAGACAGTGGGACGGAGGTAGTAATACTTTGTATTCTTTTTTGTTTTTACTATTAGTTCGTTGATATTATCTAATAGGCTCTATTCTTTAGGTTGGAAAAGTTAACTTCCAACTTTTTTCAATTCTTTTCAATTTCTTCTAACAACGACTTAAAAATTTATTTATTTATGGTAAAAATAACAAAA